CCCCCCCCCCCCCCCCCCATGTATACGTATCTTAATATCTCACACAACTGTAAATAACATCTGCAGTTAAAACAGTGTCACTAGAAACCCTACGAAGTAACCTTCGTCTTACAGGAACACTTTCAAGCAGATGACAGGTTTCTGGGTCTGTACCATTTAGTCCTATAGACTTTGACCGACGTTTCAGAGGTGTGTACAGTCTCCATCATCGCCCCGATGATGGAGAAGTCCAGAATGCTGTCTTCTTCATACTCGCCTTAAATCTTAACTTTGAAGTAGGTCACGACCTTCAGCCCAACTCCTTCCAGTTCATGTGAGTGCAACTTAAAATATTATTCAACTAAGAACTGTAATTGACAGTCTGTTGTTTTGCTTTCTTTCAGACAAACATGCACGCCTCATTCCCCTATGAGTCGAATAGGGGCAGAGAATATGGAGGGGTACGACGCCCTGACGTCCTTATACAGTCACACCCGGGACTCGACTCCCAGGACCCTCTGGTGCTTCACAACGCTCTGTCCGGAGTGGACGACGGCCAGGTAAATAAGCATTCTTCAGTAAACACGCAATTAGATTTTGCATATATATTTTACAGTGTTACTTGTTTTAAGGCTTTGTTTCCGGGTGCAAAGTGGCCGGAGCATGAAGCTGACCACTCATCTTCGACTTGTTCCCCACCCCATGCGTCTTCATAGCATTGTGCTTAAAAATAATCACAGATAAATATTTTTTTCATGTTAGTTGCGGAACCAGTTCGTGAATTTGATGTTAATTAGCCCGAAGTAGATTCGGGTGTTCTTGATATTCTGAATCATATCAGCGGGTGGATCGAGTACGTGAAGGTATGGTTACATGTGTGAGGAAGACGATTTGAGGGAGGCATTTTATTGATTTCGCCCCCCCCCCTTCTTGTCGTTCGTGGCGGTTTAAGAGGAGGGGTATCGAACCCGGTAGCTCACATTTCGAAATAGGACTTATTCCATGCTTCCTAATTTGGATCATATATATGGAATATCTTTGGTAATAGAATCTTATTTTCTATTACTACTACAATGTTAAAGTAATTTATAAATAATTATTTCAAGACAATTCTTTCATTCTTATAATACTCTCAGTTGCTTGAGTTACAGACTTCGATTATCCAGGCTGTGAACATTATCTTGCCTGATTGTTAGTGGCTGGTGTATCTAATAAATGGCTTTGAAGCTCACGTCGTAACAGCGGCCTACTAGTTGGAGCTACAGTGAATCCCATTGAAATTTAGATTACAAAAAAACTAGCAATAGTTATATACCAACAAGAAAATAGCTAGAGCCAGGTTGTTAGCTTCTGAAAAAAGAAAGCTGCTATTCACTTCAGAATTAATTCTCAGATATTGAATTTTTCCAACACCGCATAGGATTTTTTGGGCGGGGAACGACCCCATCAAAGACGACACACAGAATTAACCTCCAGTGGAAATCCATTCACGGTAGGTCTTTTTGAAATAGGTTGTTAGGGTTAGGATTGGATTAATCTGGCCAGTGAATCCTCTGGTTCCATAAAAGGAAGGGAATTCTTTGACTGAGCGTGCTATCAACTTCTCAAGATGAGGTTACTATATTTTACTTACAAGACGTTTCGACAGTTTGTCCTGTCCTCGTCTTAAGATGGTCGGTTGTCATCATATTATATGTTACTTTATAATAGATGGCAGCTTCCAAAATATTGTGCATATGAGTAATTCATACGATGGAATGCCCGACGTAATATTCATATATCATAGGGTTGTTGTAATGTACGCCAACAGTGCTCAGAGGCGCGGTTCAGGAAAATGTTCCTCGTGGCGTCCCGCGTCGTAGCCACATTATTTGTTCAACAAAAAATGCAATTAACGTTTTATTTTACTATTAAAAGCCGTTCGTTTAATCTAGCTAGGTTTATCCTCGTGCCATTATGTGGCGAATGCCTGCAACTGAGTGCTAGATCCAGTGATAGTCTACATGACGGTGCAATTAAGCAAATCTTTTCTTGAAGACTTGTGCACGGCGCGATGGTCTGTGCTGGCGCATGAACACGGCATGTCCATTCTCGTAATGAAAGGATGAAAACTTTTCGGATGCTTTAAAACTGTAATATCATTTTGAAATTAATTACTGTTGTTATTAATTATACTTCATATTTAGCTGTAGGAATTAATACATGGAGATGTGGCGGTTACGCATGTAAATAATTTATCCTTACGACGAATTCCAATACACGTGCGTCTTACGTAATTTCTAGGGAAGAGTGGCCTAAAGGTGCGCTGTATGATAATCCTAACATTTCCATGTTAATTTTAAATATAAACGAAGATTTGTCTTCGATGAAATTTATTATTTCATTAATGATCCTCAGAAATTTAGCGAAGTAAAGTTTTGTAGTCGTTAATAGATTTGATAAATAGAGAAACGCTTTTTATGATTAACACTAAGAATATTTTACAACAAAAATCACTTTACGCTATAAGGGATTATTACACAAATATGTCATTAAACAAAGAGGCTAATTTAACTAGTTTAGGCCATTACAGATTTCGTCTTGTGGCCTCTTTATCTGCATTATTTCTGCCAGTACAGGTTCTTATAATCGCATAATTATCAGGCATAAATTCACTGTGTTTAAGCTGTTGCATATTAAGTAATTAGGATTTGAGGTATTCACGGCGGTGACTACGAAGATGGCTGTCTTCTAGTGTGTAGCACCGTGTAGTATGGTAGACGTTTATCGAGGTTTTAGAGGTCATTGCTGCCTCCATCATCAGGGTGTCCTTATTAAGTTAGGAAATGTCCGCATAGCGCAACAGGTCTGACCTATTCGCCAGAGTTTGACGTACGACCTTTGCAAAGGTAAATGGTGCTTGGAAATTCTTCACACAAGATGTGGATAACCTCACTCAGGATAGCCAGCATGATTGTCTGGGTTCGAACCCCAGATCTCCAGAATGCGAAGAAACTTTGGCAACGTCCTGACCGCGAGGGTCATTGGATTCGGATTTCGATTACCGCTCGGAATACGGATGTCTGATTTCGTCGGCGTTGTTCTGTGTACGTATGTGACTCTGAGGCTGTCTCATCCTTCGTCTGTTGATTTCTATCGCTTGTATGAAGGGGATTTATAAAACCTGAATTCGGTTTGATTTCAACCGAAACGCCGTGGAATAAAATATTTCACAGCATGTCAGGATTCGAGCTGTGACGTAGGAGGATTCTTTGTATTTATATCTTGAAGAAGCATATGTCCTTCTTGCACAGGTAATGACGACTTCCACTATGCGATTCTTAATGAAACGAAATAATAAGTAAAACAGAACAAGCAGAGTATATGAAAAAGTTGAAAAGGGGGTGTGCTTAAAAAGTGTTTTGAGTGATGCGTTACTATGACCTAAGCCTAATCAATCATCGGCCCCGCATTAGGAGTAGTTTTAAAAAGCATGCCTTCTTTACCTTCGTTATAATTTTGTTTCATTCATTTTGAGACGAAGCAACTGAATCTTAACAGGGTTAACCAAAAGTCAGGGAATTAATAATAATTTATTCTCGTAGCTCTATAGCCACTTGGTAGTAACTACGTTGATTACGGACGGACCAATGGCTGCAAGTGATGAAAATGCATGCAACAGGCTAGTCACGATTCAAAATTAATTTTTAAAGCCTGCAAGTGTGTTTTCCTACTGTCTTCGTAGTAGTTCACCAACACTGACTTAGGAATTACGTCTGTATTGTTTGTGCCTTCTGGATATTAGCCGTCTATTCTTGTCTTCTTTTAGATGGGGCATTGTGTGTTTCGCATCGTGTCAAATGGCCCATCTGTTGTATAATTACAGAACAATATTGACCCTCATTATCTGCTTACCAATTAATAAAGTTATTTTGCCCTAAATGACAAGACAAGTAGGTATGTATTTGGTGTATTTTGATTATCAGAATGTTAACAAAACAGTGGGTGTCTACTGACAAAAGACAAATACGTCTTTTTCACGGTTAAACGTTTTGACTTTTTGGAAAGAACCTCTATTACCCATTGGATGGTAATTAGGTTTCGTGTGCCGCAAGACAGTTTGCCGCTGTGCCCAAAAATCCCTGTCTCTGTCTGTAACAGAGCCTGGTCGTCCACTTTACTGACTCATCTGGTCCAACTTCGAAAATGCAGTCGAGTGACGAGCATTACAGAATTGAATTTGGTGAGGTTCGTCTGGCTAAGGACAGGTTTCGTTGAAGTCCGGAGGATTCTGATAATGGTTCTTTATAATGTGTGAAATTGTTATTTTGGAAATTTTCCGTCGTGTAAATTATAAATCTTACAACGTCTCGGAAGATGGCTTATTTTCCGTCTTTATGTAGCAATGGGGAAAGAACAGATAAAGCCTGAGCCTGGTCGAGTAGCCCCAGACTTCGATGACCAGCTTGAACTCTTTTCCTCATGGATTAAGAAGGATGTCAAAGCATTGTGCGTTATATGTTCTTAAAACCGTGATTTATGTTGACTCCGAGATGCCCGTTACGCGGGTACAGTTAACTGGATACACCCCTCTTCTAATCTCACACCTTATCCCCCACGGCTCTTTTAAAGCCGAGATTGCACCCCAAACTTTCCTCTTAACCTCCGTTTTTACTTTCCGCCCCCTCGGGAAATGACGACACCTAGCTTCAAACCCCAAACGAGATAAAATATGAAAACCGGGGAGGGGGGGATGAACTAAGAAGAGAGGGTGAACTATGATGTATTTGTGAGCTGAGAGATGATTGAAGAATGAGGCGAGGGGGAGGGGGTATTTACGAGAGGGCTGTAGGGGTGCTGTATCTCTCGTATAGAATGTTCGGTTGATTTCAATACCCTGCATACTGCTGGCATTTTTGATAACCCTCTCCAACCCTCCCGACATACAAATTCGAATTCATAAACAGGACAGTCAATATTGGATCTTTTCAGGACAGATACGTATGACGTGTTTTTTCGGAACAAATTAGTCTACAGACCTATTTTTATCTTGTAACTTTGCTTTATAATAATAGTACTAGCGGGAACCACGGGCAACGGCCCTTTTATTTTGAAATAATACGGCTTTACGCGTTTCATCCAAAGAGAGTAATAAAAACATTTGCGAGTGACAGCAGTAACTGTCAAGAAACATAAACGCAAAAAGAAATGTGTTATGGCAAGGCCGTGGTCTTGTTGGACACAGAAGGCCGTTGTTTAACGGCCTTATAGTATAAACAAGTCCTTAAATAATTAACGTCTTTAACATGGCAACGGTTATAATAATTTATGCGCGACAAACAAATTTATAAACAATATTTTGTTATTTTTCTTCTGACATGTTAGTGGGGGATATGTTGTTTTTAATGCAGATGCATCGGTTTTTTATAAAAGATTCTGAGAGACATCATGTAAGATTTATCCATTTATTTTAATTATCGTTATACACTTGATTGTTCACTCATTTCTGGTATTAGTATTGTCATCAACACCATATTAATAATCAGCAACTTCCATCCTGATATATCATAAACTCAAACCA